TATGGACACGTGTCAGCATTCCTTGCATTACGATCACTACCAGTACTTCACCCGCAGGAATATGCTAGCCGTTTTCAAATTTACCAAGATCTCGCAGTGGGAGATCTCGCTGCCACCGCCGTTGATTAACATCACCTACGATCCGAAACAGCATGCCAATGTGATTGAAGAGATGAAGAGTGTGACGTTGAAAGGCGATGAAGTTTTCTCAGCGATACGAGAAAAGCTGACGAGTCTGCAGACGGACTTGGAAGGCCTGAACCTTGCTAAACAGCAATTAACTAAGGATCAGCAATACTTCAAGAACAAAATTGAAGAGATCCAATTGAAGCTAACATCACCAACACTGGAGAATAAGAAACTAGAAGGTAAAACTTCCGAGAAGCAGGTGCAAGGACTGATGTTCAGGATCGAGGATGGTATTGTAATACTTAAACGGCTCATTGCGGAGGCAGTGTTCACGTGGAATAATAAATTGTCAGAGATATCAGCCAAGAAAAAGGACGAACGGCCACGTCGATTCACGGAACGATCTATGACAGTCGGCAGTAACAGTATAGTCGAAACCGACGGATACATAACTGAAGACACCGCATCGGAATCACAGATCGAAGATTTGAGTCCTATGTCGGCCGATTACAACGCTGTCGACGCGATCACAGCTGCGCAGAATGACTTCCAAGCTTCCGAAGTGATCGAGAATTCTGATAATGAGCCAGCAGAATCCGCTAATAATCCTGAAGACGTTGTCATTGTTCAGGGTTCACCAAAAATGCATCAGAGATCTCATTCCGACGTTCTACCGCTGTCTTCCGATGACATTCATGATAAAAAGAAGAAGAAGAAGACGATCCTGTCGCAACTGTTGCCGTCCGTTTCTGTGAACCACACAATTTCGAATCCTTTGGGATCTTTAGAGCATTACCTGTTGCCTCTTGGGTACGTTGATTCGTAATCTCGTATTTATATTACAGTAATGACAAATTCTAATCTAATTTTTAATAAAAATTTTTAACTGCAACAGAAATAATAGAATAAGATTGTTAGAATAAAAAAGAAATTCTCAAATGAAAATTCCTTTCAACTCTAAAAATTATATTTAAAAATTCTATTATTTTGTATAGAAATTTGAATAAAAATATCTGGTCAGTGTCAGAAAATCCTCAGGAAATATTTTTCAAAAAAATTAAATGTTCATTAAGTGAATGCTCCATGAAATGAATAATTTTTTTTAATTACAAAGGATTTACTCTGATTAGTTTTTACTTGATTCATAAATCGATTATGAGTGTCGCAAGAAAACTATACGTAACTATTTTATATATATATGTGTGTGTGTGTGTGTGTGTGTGT